AAAATAGTAATATTTTACTCGGTACAAATGTGAGTAACGCGCGTTACAGTGTTTTTTTTTTTTTTTACCTGGATTGAAGTGGTGGGTTTTTCTTCATACAAATTCGCTAAAATCACCTCGATATCAGCAGCGGTGAAACGCCGGAGATGCGCCCTCATAGACCTTCAGGTAACCGCGGGCGAAAGGACTGACAAAGAACTCCACGCTGTTTAGACCTGGTTTAGACCTGGGTCAGTTTTGATTTAGACCTGGTTTAGACCTGGGTCAGTTCTGGTTTAGACCTGGTTTACACTCGTCCCTCCCTCTATCGCAGTTCACTTTTCGCTGTCTCGCAGATTTTTTATTATTATTTTTTTGTGTGCAATTTTGCATGCCCTGTTTTGTTTTGTTTTTTACATTGTATGAATGCGTATTGCGTTCCTCCCGCTGCGTCCTGACTGGCCAAGGGACTCCTGTCTCCTGTACAGTACAGTACAGAATGTGTTCAGCTGCCAAATTTAAATACATGTTCAATCTCTAGCAGTGTGATTCTGAAGTGCTGTACGGTTGCAAGTTTTCTCCCCGACGAAACCCACAACGTCGACGAAACGTTCTGCACCGACAAAGGCTCCTGCGCTCGCACCCAAAAGGCAGAGGAAGATGCAAACCATCACACAAAAAGTTGGGCTTCTGGACACGCTGAAGGAAGGTAGAAGTTACGCGCTGTAACAGACTCTTGCACCGGCTCGGGTACCTGCAAATAGTTGCTGAAATCAGGGCCGCGAGCCCGAGCAGCAGGGTGACAGCCGCTCTTACCTCCGTGAGGTGCGGAGCAGAGCCGCTTCTTTCTCCTGCGGTCACCTTCGAGCCCGTCCCTACAGTGAGTCCTGTTTTAGTCCTAGTTCAGTTCTAGTTTAGTCCTAGTTCACTTCTGGTTTAGTCCTGGTTCAGCTCTGGTTTAGTCCTGGTTTAGACCTGGTTTAGTCCTGGTTCAGTTCATATACAGCGCAAAAGTTATTTTGGTGAGAGTAACTTAAAGTAATGCAATAGTAATGTAATGCCTTACATTTTAAATGCAGTAATATTGTAATGTAACGAATTACTTTGAAATGACAGTAATAGGTAATAAATAACGCATTACAGTTTCAAAGTAACTTGCCCAACAGTGCTGGTCACACAGAAGAAGAATTGTACTTAACTAGACAGTGTGAATGAAAGTGCCGTCAATTTCTTTTCACAATAATCATAACAGCTCAATAGGCTGTATTAACACTTATGTTACAAACCAGGAAGACATTTGGAAATATGCAATACCAAATTATGGTGTAGTTCCCGACACTGGGCTCGCCGACTGACTGAGATCAAAGCCACTGAAGTAAATGGGATCAGAGGTAAAATGATAAAATGAAGACTGCATACATATGTGCCGTTTGGAATCATCTGGAATTTGGCGCCTCATCTCTTCTAATCACATGTACCCAGCACTCGGAGTTGTGTGTCAGTGGGGAAATGATGAAAACTGAGTCATGGTTGTAACTAGGGGTGTAAGAAAAAAATTTATTCAGTGATATATCATGATACTTCATTGCACAATTCTCGAATCCATTCAAAATGGATCTGAATCTATTTTTAAAATAATATTTTTCACAGAAATTCATTAGTTACATTCACAGTTCTTATCATTTTAAGAAGTTTATGAATTATATTTCATACAATTGTGTTCTCTTGAAGGTGTAGTTGACTGTATTATTAGAAGTAATTGTTGATAAATCGCAATATATCATCCATTGTTTTAATATTGGGTTATATCGTGATATATTGAATTGTGAAATGTGAATAATGAGATGTATCATGTCGTCAGACTCAAGACAATGCACACCCCTAGTTGTAACTAAGGCTGGGGATCATTAAGAAATTGCTGATACGATACATATCTCAATACACAGGCTATGATATGATACATAACTCGATACACAGGCTATGATACGATACATACCTTGATACACAGGCTATGATACGATACATACCTCGACACACAGGCTATGATACGATACATACCTCGACACACAGGCTATGATACGATACATACCTCGATACACAGGCTATGATACGATACATACCTCGACACACAGGCTATGATACGATACATACCTCGACACACAGGCTATGATACGATACATACCTCGATACACAGGCTATGATACGATACATACCTCGACACACAGGCTATGATACGATACATACCTCGATACATAGGCTATGATACGATACATAGGCTATGATACGATACATATCTCGATACAGTGCACTTTCAGTTCGATATAATATATTTCAAATCGATTTGATACGGTTCAATAAAAAATACACTTCTTGTACAAAGTTCATATGAAACACAAACATTTTAATCATCAAAACTGTGAAAATGTCAAATGTGTCACATAAATAATTTCCTTCCTCTGAACAAGGAACAAAACTAAAAATACTCTTGACCATATGCTGATACAGCTGCCAACGATATAGATACTGTATCATCTAGAGCCCGACCGATATATCAGTTGCCCAATATTATCTGCCGATATGGGTACCTGGAGGCCTATTGGCTATCGGCCGATATGCTTGCTGATAGGGGTCGATATTTCACGTGGGCATGTGATACGTCGTAAAAAATCTTAGACTCTCTACATTCTGTTCATTTAATCCAATTTACAGACAGATAAATGTCTTAATATGTGGCTCCACATCAGTATTTATCTGTGGAGTCATTTGTCTGTGTGTGTGTGTCTGTACTGTCCCTGAACACACCACAGAGTCGAGTCAGTCACGTGTGTTTGTTTACACCCACAGACATAGATCCAAACATTGAGATTATATTCTTTTTACGGACAATCGGTTTGAGTCTGGATTAAAAGGACATTTATTAGTGCATACTTGTGATGTGAGGAGGAGCCTGTGTGAGCGCTGAGTTGGAAATATGTCGACTTTGAAGCTAGTTTTGGTCATTAGTTATGGGTTAGCTGCTGTAGCTTTCACACATAAACAGTCAGTTTTCTATTGGTCTGTTGTAAAGTGACTACATTGGCCGTATATTTGTTACTGGACCTGCATTGATATGTAAATGAGCTGTGAATAGACGTGTGAATTACGACATTTGCGCATATAATTAATTACCACGGCGCGCACGTATTTACGGCTAAAGGTGAATAGCGCTAATTTCTTTACTAGTTATGGGATTGGTCGCGAACAAAATGGCTCTTAGAGCCGGCTCTTTGAAGAGAACGACGTGAGCCTGATCTTTATTCGGAGCCGTGTTTTCTCTTTCTCTTATTTTTTTCTCTTCACATCGCATGCAGACTCGTGGAAGTTTGACAGCGGCAGCGGCTCAAAACAAAACTTGCATGTGCATAGGATTAAAAAAAATGAGCATATTTGGCTGTAGTTGGCATGAAATAAATAAACCAGGACTAATCTTGGGCACGAGATAGAGACCATGTCCCGACACTCAGTCCTGGTTCAGTTTTGGTTTAGTCCTGTTTTACACGTGGTCTAGATCTGTTTTAGTCCTGGTTTAGTCCTTTTTCAATCCTGGTTTAGACCTTGTTCAGTCCTGATTCAGTCCTGCTTTAGACGTGCTTTAGACCTGCTTGCAACAAAACAATCTGAAGAGTCGCTTGGGAGCCAAAAGAACCAGCAGCTTTTAGTGAGCCGAGCCAAAAGAGCCGGTTCTCTAAAAAGAACTGGAATACCCATCACTAATGTCTAGAATGTGATGCAAAAATGCCATTAAGCCAACCTACTGTGTGTAAATATCATCATATTTACATAAGAAATATGAGGCAGAAGAACAATAAATGTTGCCTAAATAAACCCAATTTAAAATCCACTAAAGCCAAACCTAAGTTTTTTAAACAATTCAACATTTACAGTGAATTTTTACATCACTAAATATATCGGTGATTATATCGGTTATCGGCAGCTCCAACTCCCATTATATCGGTTTCATATCAGCCACAACAAAATCCATATCGGTCGGGCTCTAGTATCATCACATTAAACCATGTGATGTATTGATATTTTTGCACACCCCTAGTTGTAATTGTTGATGAGTCGAACATAATGGACCACTACAACGACATGGAGCTGAAGAAAACTTGGACATTTTCTAATTTTTCCTACATTTCCTACATCCTACATCCCAGAGCCCACTAAAGTTATCATCACATGTTTCCAAACGTCTTCCTGGTTTGTGACATAAGTGAATAGTGCCTGTTGGATTTGGTGACATTTCCACTTCCTGAGTTTGCTGGGGGCTGGTGTTGGTTTACACTATAGTTCACACTATTTAAATTCACTTTCAAATATTACAGCCTAATAAACACATCAGGACAACAATTAGCTGGAGCTTAAAGCACAAAATATTCTAAAAAGTGACTACTTTCATTATAAATCTGATAAGTCAAATTAGACTTGCTTGTACAATCTCTGTGGCAAAGATCTGCTTTCTTAAAACAAAACCCAAATAATGACAGTAGCTTTTGTAGTTTTAACATGAATTCTTGAAGGAATTTACTTGTTCGGGCATACTTTTTAAAAACATATCAGACAATCTTTGGATAACAAACTCCCAAATGAACGATCCACACTGGCGCAGAGAGCTATCAGCTAAGCTACTGTCAGATCATACTAAACAAGTGGTTAACAAGTACATTTTAAGAACATATAAAATGAATTTAGGAGGTTTAGAAGCACAATCCAGCTCTGACAGAATCAACAAATCTGTTTTCTACACGAATCACTCGGACACTTTCGCTCCCTGCTAGCCCGATGCTAACTTAACCACAGCGACAACATCTTCACAGAAAGGCTGAAAACGTGACGAATAACGTGCTGTCGCCGACAAACACAATGATCACACACGAGTGGCGTTCAGAGGAAGCAATCGCAGTTTGATAACAGTGATTTTGAGGTTAAATTCGAGCACTTCGGGGGCGAACAGTTGAAGAAAGAGTTGCTGCTCCACTCACCATCCCCGCGGCCGCCATCTTGAATACGTGTCATAAGTGACGTCAAAGGAAGGAAGCGAAAATATGATGAGTGATTAAAATATATGAATATATTTTAGGTTTATTATAAAAGCAAATATCTTAAACAAACAAATAAACAAACTAAAAACTAAAAATAAACTAATTAAATAGCCAAATCAGATACTGTCTATGATCGCATCAATTACTGCTTTGTACTGACTGTGTGGGCTGCTTCCTTGTAGAATAATAATGAAAACAACAACAACAACAATAATAATAGTAATAATAATAATAATAATAATAATAATAATAATAATAACCTGTTATTTTTGCAGTTGTGCTAAACGAAGCTGGATTGTACTCAGTTACATTTACTTGAATAATTTTTTGAAGATTGTTTTCAGAAGACATCAAATATATGAAATAAGATGTATGGAATTATGTAAAAAAAAAAAAAAAAAAAAAGGAAGAAATAGCACATCCTCTCCTCATCTGCATCTGCTGACCTGCCCGGACCAGTTCTATTAAACTGGACTGACACCTTCGACTGAGACACCCAGGGGACTGAGAAGCACAGCAAAACTTCTCTCTGGATCAATATATATCTCCCTCTCGCTAACAATTTTGTATATTTTATTTTAACATCCACAGAATATTCATTCTTTGCTCTGTCAACAGCTGCAAAGCTGCACACTTCTCTCATGACTGAGTCTCCTGAAATGGTTTTTACTTCACAGATGTGCCTCGGGGTCAAGAAATGCCAAAAGTGCAAAGCAGTGTTGAAAGCAAAGGGTCAAGGTGAGCATTGAGTTTTTCAGAGTTTATTTTTGTTTCCTACATATGTGTGTTCATTCATAGTTTTAAGGACTTCAGAGAGAATCTATGGAAAAAAGAACCATGAATGAAAAAGTGTGTCCAAACATTTGACTGGTGGTGTATATGAATCTAAACATATAAAATACATGTATTTAGTGCTGATTACACTTCTACACTTCTCATTTGTATGGTACCTTCATTTAAGCACTTAAAACTGAAAATGATGTATGCCTAAAAAAGGTATGTCTGGAAAACAGGTCAGTTATTTTCCGAGATTCCCAGAACATGTGGAAACCCTGTTTTAATTATACAAAGAAAAATACACAGAGACAAATCTTTATCTTATCTTTATTAAAAGGTTTATAATGAGAAGCTAAAGTTAAGCCTTCAAAAGAGGAACACAATATTATATTTACAGGACATAGAAAAGCAGTAGTAAGCTCTATTCAAATACTTGTATACACAGGCTTCAGTCCTCTATCTGTAGAAATGCACAGGCCCTTATAAAGAAGATTCTCCCAACAGTCTGTTACTGCATCAAACAGATACGAACAAATGAAATGTGGAAAAACACAACTGAGATGTTATTTGTGTTTTCAAAGTTAGATTCATTTCTATGGTACCCATAAGTTATCAGTGCAGAGGTTATGTTAAAACAGTGCACAAATAAATTAATCTTAAGAATTAATGAAATATATTTAAAACACAGACTACAAAAGGTTCAAGATTCAATAAAAACATTTCTTTAAAAGGCACATTAGGAGAAACTCAGCCACTCTATAAATAAATGCGACACACTGAAGCAAAATCAGCAGAAACCGTTCAATGCGGAGTCCCCAAAATTCACAGTTAAGATGTGGATTTAAAAATGTTGTATAGTATTAATGATATGGACAAACACACAGCATGTTCATGTGAAGAGTGGACTTTACTGCACTGCAAAAAAAAAAAACAAGAGTCTACAGCAGACACAAGAAACCCGACTGGTGCCAGACTGAGCCATGTGTGTTTTGCAGTGTGGAGTTGGAGTGGAGTTTAGCCTCCAACCTTAAAGTGCATGTGACAGGTTAGACTACTCATTTCACTATATTTTTTACAAAAAAAACAACAACTATACTGTCTATAGTTTTTTGTAATTTTGTTATCTTGGTGAAGTTTATAACATTATTTCCAGGTTGGACATGGGCATCAGATATAACAAAACTTGTCTAAATTACACAACAGCTATGATTTAATAAATAAAAAATAAATGCTGAACACATTATTTTTTAATTTATTTTTATTTTTTATTACTATTATTTGGTTAAATCAATGTTTAAACTGTCAGAAAAATGCCTTTCTTGTGTGTAGTTGCCATGTTGTTTGGTTGCTCTTGTGGCTGACTGGCTGGCACACTGAGCAGTTTTTAAATGTTTGACTTACATTTTGGGTGTAATATTTTGGGATTTTGACCAACTATGAAGTGCAGCTTGGGCATTTGAATGGATGGAAGTTAAAGACTATTGGACTGTGTGATTTGAGTTTGTTTCTTCTTGTATCCATGGCAACCCTGCATGGAGCTAGCTCTGCCAACCAGTTAGTAGCTCTGAAATGCTACAAATCCTTTACAACAATGCAACAGGCTTTCTATGCCAAATATGGCAGACAACAGAGCAGAGAGAGACTTTCCTGTTGTGTCTCTTGTCTTCACCTGGCTCCCCCTGAAGGCTGCTGTGATGCTGCAGGACACAGTGGACACTTTTGTCCTACGGGTGGTTACTCTCCTCACCCTGGATCTGATGTCACTACCTGTTGAGCTGCACTGAGACCTTTGTTTGATCTTTACTATTATGTTTGTATTTCTCTGCTCTATGTGACTAAACTGACCCTGAGGAACAGAGAAAGTTTGATTTTGATTGAATAAATAATAAACTGCCTCTGCATTTTGAATGGAAATTATCTTCACAAATTGCCATTTAACTGATGTAAAACTATGATAAATATTGACCACAAGACAGGTGCTATCCACCAAACCAAGTCAGAATAAGAAAATACATTAATCTGTCAAATGCACTTTAACTTTATCCAACTTAACCATGTATCTATTGTAAATGAATAAACTGTTACCAATATTTTGTTTTGGTTTTTTTAGCATGAGATTTGCCGGAGTGGAGCTCACATCTGCATCACCAGTGGTGTCAAACCTCCATTTTGTACAGAGAGATTTTGTTTGCAGTGTACTCCATGCTGTATTTTACCTCTGAAAGGAACCGTATTATGCTATTCTCAGATCTATGTTCTAGCTTTGTTTCCTCATCACAAATATACCAAAGGTTGTGTTTGTTTCCTTCAGAAATGAGTCTTTCAATCAGACAAAAAAAAACCCACTTTGTTCTACTTTGTGATGGCATGTGTAATACAGGAAGTGCTCCACTGTATTTTAAACTCCATACACCTTCACTAGAATCATTTGGGTGATTTCAAGTCAATCTCTCCTAAACAAAGGGTAAAAGGGAGCTGTTAACATGAAAACTACCACTATGCAAGGTAGAATACAGCATTTTGAGCTTTGGAGATGTAGACATAATAACTAATAATAAACTGTTACTCAAACAATGTGTGGATGAAACAAAACACAACTCCAGTTAGTTAGGCGTGTGTAACAAATTAAACATGGCTAAAAGCTCACAAGAGTGGATTTTGTGAAATATTGGACCTATACATTTTGGCAGTGTCCATCATGTTTTTTGTCGCTTGTGTTTGTTTTGCAGTGTGTGTCATGGCTGCTGCTGGTACTGGCTCTCCGTGGCCGTGTAGAAGTCCTCCAGGACACTCTGCAGATAGTCAAAAGTGGGTCTGTCCTCCGGTTTGTTCTTCCAGCATTCCAGCATGATCTCGTACAGCTCTTTGGGACAGCACTCCAGGCGTTGCATCCGGTAGCCCTTCTCCAGAGCACGGATCACCTCAGGGTTTGTCATGCCTGAGGGACACAGAAACATACGGTAATAATAATTAAACTGTGTGTTTCCTCTCATTAAGGTCATTGGTGGGAAGTTAAACTCAGTCTGGTCCATCAGCTTTCCCAGTCACTACCAATCGCTCGCACACAATCACATCTATACTTGGCAATGTGTGGGTGAAGTGTCTTGCCTAAAGACAGAACAACAGGAGGTACTGTTCCGAGATGGATTTGTCCACATGCTCTAACTACACAGCAAAAACTGGAGGGTTAAAATTTCAGAGTAATTTCAGAGACATTTCTAACACAAGAAGTGTTATTTTTAAGTTAAATGGGGTTTGAGTTGAGGTCATTTGAGTTGATATGGTTACCGTATTTGCGTACTGTCATTAAATGGTCTATTTTCAAACTTTTTTCACAAATAAACCGCACTGGACTTTAAAGGAAACACAACAGTGTGATGGGTGAGTGGTTTTGTTTGTTTGTGGCGTTCACGGTGACTCTGGGCTTTGTTCAGTTGTGGCGTGTAGGGAGGGTGCTGTCTGGGACCAACGGATTGTCGGCGTGTTCGCAGTGACTCAGTTGTTCAGTCGTGTCTAGAAGTGGCACGTTGCACTCGCTTTTTCGGTTCGTTCCTCCGTTCCATTCCTCGTCCGTGTGGAGCGATGAGTGTGTGTGTGTGGGTGTTTGTCGCTGTGCGGTCGCTGTCTGCTCCGTGTGTGTTTGTATGCGCTGTGGGTGCTGCGGCTTTGTAGTTTACTGAAGTCATGCTGGGACACTACGAGTGGATTTGTGTATAGGGCGCTCTGGATTGTGGGGCGCGCAGTCATTTTTTGATGGGGTTGGAGGCATAAGCGTGCATCTAATAGGACAGAAAATACAGTAATTCAACTTCCCCTTATGCTCATTCAATTTCCCTTATTGTTAATTTGGTACCTTCACCCACCACTTCAAACTCTTGCAAGAGAAGACCAGTTTGAACCAGTTTTGTACATAATTTCATCTTAAATTAACTAAAATAAAGTGTAAAAATAAAACATATCTGTGTGTTGTTTAGCTAAATCAGAATAACCCTACAAAGTGTTATCCTTTTACTCTCAAAACGTTAATATAACTCTTAATTTCAGGGTTAAACAGGAACTTTTAGTCCAGTATTACTTAATTAAAATTTACAAAAATATTAAATTAACTCTAGAACAGATTGGACTCATATAAACCCTGAGAAAATGTTAAAATTGATTCTGTGAGAGTCAATTTTAACACTCCACTTTTTGCTGTGTACTCTGGACCCTTCTCCAAATCTGGTTAGGATCCTGGAGGAGTCTGTGATGTCATCATTCGTGGCCCTCTCACCTGGGTAGGGGGTGCGTCCGTAGCTGATGATCTCGGTCAGTAAAATCCCAAAAGACCAGACGTCAGACTTTATGGTGAAAGAGCCGTAGTTTATGGCCTCGGGAGCAGTCCACTTGATGGGGAATTTAGCTCCTGATAAAAACAAATATATGCATTAGAAACATAGTCCTGGTTTAGTCCTAGTTCAGTCCTGGGTTAGTCCTGGTTTAGTCCTGGTTTAGTCCTGATTTAGTCCTGGTTTAGTCCAGAACTAGTACCTTCTCTGGCTGTATACTCGTTGTCCTCTATGATCCGGGCCAGTCCGAAGTCTGCGATCTTACACACCAGGGCTTTGTTGACAAGGATGTTGGCGGCGCGCAGGTCTCTGTGGATGTAGTTCCTCTGCTCGATGTATGCCATGCCCTCTGCTATCTGTTAAATCACATCATCATATTATACAATATTATATATGACTATTAAAATCTATTAACAAGCCCACAGACTGTCTAAACAAGTGGGGCATGATGTCACCCACAGCGTTCGGTTCCAAATAAAGCTCATATTTAAATTTCCGATCACAAGTATCATAGCAACCAAAGAGCAAATCAATAGCAAGGGTGATGAAGGTACCACACCTTCCTGCCCAGACTGCTGGTTTAACAGGAAGTGGGCACTTAGCAATGCAATTTTAGAATGCAGTGGTTAGCGTGTCCGTTTGTAAAGTCTATGAATAAGCCAAAAAAAAAAATCATTTATATGCAACCTGTACAAAACTGTATACAGCAGTGTCCTCACAAATTCTACCCTAAAATTTAAATTCACTCCTTTCTGCAAAACTGTCATTTGGTATTACAAAAGATTTAGATTTTATATTTGGCTTTGTGGTAATAATTCTCACTTGAGACATTTAAACCTGACTCTACCTGAACACCACTAGAGGGTGCTGTAGGTGGTAAGAGTTTTTATCTCAGCATGACTTTTAAATGCAGTAGAAGCATCTGAATCTGACCTTTAAAATACTAACGTGTAACATCTGAACACTGTGCTGTATAGAGCACCTCCTGCCCCTGACCTGCTCCTCCTCCTCTGGCCCTCAGACAAGGCCCCTGGTGCATATCTCACCCGCCCAAAACCCTCTGTGTTTGTGGGATGAATTCTGTTTTACCTGAGCAGAGAAGTCGATGAGCTTTGGGAGCTGCACACGGTTCCCCTCATCACTCTTCAGGAAATCCAACAAGCTTCCTGCAAATCCAAATGAGCTACAGTCAGTGTTACATCACACACACTAACAACAGAATGTTATATCAGAAATGTTAACCACAACATGTTATATCAGAAATACTAACCACAGCCTGTGAGTTGGTGGGAGTGTTACAAGAAAGTGGTTTTCAAATGGTAGAATGTGATGATGTCACAATCCCACATGTTTTTCCTATTGACTTTATATTCTACAATAAAATATCCAAAATACTGAACCTGATCATTTCTATTAGTCTACGTTCAGACTGCAGGGCTTAACGCTCAATTCCAATTTTTTTGTGAAATCTGATGTTTTGCGAGGTCGTTCACATTTCCAATTAAATGTGACTTGTATGTGAACTACAGTGTGAACATTAAACGGCCCTAAAGTGTCCTGCATGTGCACTGGAGACACAATGACGTCAACCGCAGCGAGCGTGCTCTGTGTTTACGGAAGTTGTCCAAACATGGACGCAGCATTGAGCACCTGGAGATTTTAAAGTTCCTCTCGTACCGGAGCCAGAACATGAACAACTTACTTGTTTTAAGGGGGAGATTGAGAAGGAGAAGAACGAGGTTTTTGGCCGTGGTGTTTTGTGGGGCAGCGGCAGCGACGTCCGCTGAAAGGAACATGTGGATGTGAAGACGTAGCCAAGAGTGGTGAGTGGTGATGTGCTTCACTTCAGTGACATGGAGTTCATTAACAATTTTCGCCTACTTCAGCTCAGAATAGTGACGTTTGTGGCTTGTTGATAACGTGTAGGTCGAATGAATGAGCTTTGGCCGTTCAGACTGAAGTCGCATGTCAAAAGATCAGATATGTATCGGTTTCAGGAGCACATATTGAAGTGGCCTGGGTCGCATTTGAAAAAATCGGATCTGTGTCATTCAGACTGTCATTAAATATCAGATACAGGTCACAATGAGGCCAAAAAATCGGATTTGGGTCACTTCAGGCTGCAGTCTGAACGCAGCCTTAGTGACAAGCCCAAGAGCTCATTGTATCACAACACAAATCTGTATTTGTAGATGTATTCTTGCTGCGTCTCTTAAGTACAGTTCGTACAGAATGTTGTGATACCAGAAGAAACGCAGCTGTTTAATGGAGCAAAACAAAACAGTTCTAGAGGATGGTCCATTGTGTGACTGTCTCTATGAAAATGTTACTGCTTTGCTAAGAATGTTCCACAGTAAGGCATTAAACTAGTCTATCTCCATGGAGACAAACAGGTGGCAACATCAGCCAGTTACAGGTTACAGGTGAAGGTGAAGCTGACCACAGTAAGAAAGCATGTTTTTCAAAGCATCTGTGAGCCTTCAAAACACCTCTGACTGAACACATGCACGATGGATAAGTTTGAAGCCATACTGCGGAACATTCCAGGCAGAGCACTAACATCTCCTTGGAGACGAGAAGGTGGTGTAAAGGTTCCACAGTGTCCCTTTAACCCTCTGCTGTGCTCACCCTTCTCCATGAACTCGGTGATGATGTAGATGGGCTCCTCTTTGGTCACCACGGCGTTCAGTCGCACCAGTTTATCGTGCTGCAGAGTCTTCATCAGATTGGCCTCCATCATGAAGGCCTCCACAGACATGCTCCCTGGCTTCATGGTCTTCACCGCCACCTTTGTGTGCTTGTTGTATGTCGCTGGAAACACACATACAAAAAACAAATCAGATGTCAAGAGTGTACTGTGTTAGTGAACTACTACAGTGCCTAAAATGCATTATTTTTATTTCAGCAGACCAGTAAAAACAGATTGTTTATACATAGAGCAGTTTTTCTCAAACTGTAGTAGGCATACCAGAGGTGAGACATGGTGGGCTCCATATGTAGAGAGGTGAGATGTATTGAAAAATATTGTTATTACTCTTTTATAGATGTGAAAACAGGCTTTTGCCCACGTGGCCTGACTGAGCTCAGTCCAAACTGAAGACACCCCCTCCACAGAGGTGACAGGTGCAGAAAGGGCAGGTGCAGAGGGGTAGATGCAATGCAGAGATGACTGGGCGGTGGTCTAAGGTAGGGGCTTCTATTTCTGTTTCAGTGTCTGGCTGTAGGGACATGGAACATCACTTCACTGTGGAGGAGCCTGAGCTTGTGCAGGAGGCCTCACCTCCACACACAGGCTGGACTCTGGACTCTCCACTTCTCTAGCTTTTCCTACAGCTCAGAGTGTTGAGTTCACCCACCCGAGAGAGTCGCATCTCTGTATCTTCGGGTGGGGGACAGTCTCTCTCTGTTGTGTTGCCTATGGGCCAAACAGCAGTGCAGAGTACCCTGCCTTCATGGTGTCCCTGAGAGGAGTACTAGAAAGTGCACCAACAGGGAACTCCATTGTTCTACTGGGGGGACTTCAACCCTGGACCCACGTGGGCAACGACAGTGACCCCAGGAGAGAGAGTGGGACGGGGGGTGGGGTGACCAGAGTGGCGTCTGTTCTGAACTTGAGCAGTGTTCTCTTACTGGACTTCTGTGTCACAGTTTCTCCCAAACAAACAACATCAGTGCAGGTGGAACCAGAGCCACAGGCTGGAACTGCAGATGCACTTTGTTTCATATGAACAGTAACAGTTGTGAGTGTTGGTGTAACAGTTGTGAGTGTTTGTGTGTTGTGGTGCTGTGTCTGTGTCTTACCCATCCACACTTCTCCAAACTGCCCCGCTCCGAGTCTCCTCTCCAGCTTCAGGGACGAGCGAGGGATCTCCCACGCGTCCTTCTCCCACGGCTTCTCCGGTTTGAGACTGAGACAGGCCGTAGTGAGAGTCTGGCACAAACCATCACCCTGCTCTGTGGAGGGAAGAGAGGCTTAGACCTGATGCCCTCCCAGTGTGTCAGATGCCCTCCCATCCTCCTGTATCCCTGTGTGTCAGATGCCCTCCCATCCTCCTGTATCCCTGTGTGTCAGACTGACATGGGGGCAGCTCACATGTCTCTAGTTCATGTGCAGATGTTGTGGTGTGTTTGGGTAAATACAGCAGGATATCTTAAATACACTTTCAGGTTTATTGACTGACTTTTGTAATGGCTGACGAGCTCCTGCAGCGTGCTGAAGGTGATTCTGGGGGAGATGTAGAATCCTCCGTTGTCCAGGGTCCTGATCTTATAATGTTTGACTGTGTCTCCAGCGTGAGGGTCAATGTCCCGCACGGACAGAGAGTAACTGCCTGCAACACACACAGTCACCAGCAGGGTGGTTAGAGGCGCTGTACAGAGTCAGACTGCAGCTATTCATAACATACAGCTACGAGACTGTTACAATATTGTATTAGTACTTACTGGTCACCGAGTTTATTTATTTTTCCTGTTTACAGTTTTCTCAGAAAATCCAGTGGTGGAATATTGTACGTTTGTCTCATATTGTGCTGCACTAACATGAATGTTCTCAGAATCATAGACTGTAAATATAATTGAACATAACTAACTGGATAAGCACTGCATGCCAAATAGGAAGTTTCCATGCAGACACTTGAATGTATGTATCAGTCTTTAGCAACTTCCTTTTGATTCATATGTTCAGTGTTGGGGAGTAACAGATTACATGTTACGTAATCAGAGTACAAATTATGAGTAACTGTATTCAGTTACAGTTACTGTTTCAGTGAGTGGTAATTGGATTACAGTTACTTTGTTGAAATAAATTGATTAAAACTAGGTCTAAACCAGGACTAAACCAGGATCTAACAGGATTTAACAGGACTAAACCATGCTGTGTCTCCTCCTCTTCTATCAATAACAATATTAATACGATTAAGTAAAGTCTGGGCTTTTTATTTTCTTTTAGCAGATAAAACATCTTATGTGAAGATTTCCTCGTCTTTGCTTCTCTATAGTAAATCAAGTAATCCAAAGTGTTCAGATTACATTACTCACCTTAACTATCTTAATGGATTCCGTTACAAACTACATTTTGGGATATGTAATCTGTAATCTGTAGGGGAATACATTTTAAAAGTAATCTTCCCAACACTGCTTATTTTATATAATACAAACTTTTCCACAGCCTCAGATTGTTTCTCTTCACTAGTTTTGTGGAATTTTGTTAAAGTCACTGGCGTCAGTTGAGTGGAAATGACCTCATATAATTTCCATAAAAAATAATAATGAATAATTTTAGAAATATACTCACACAAATGACATTATTACACAAAACAGCACAAACCAAATACAAACGTTTTATAAAACTGTGTGCCTGTTTTGAGGCTGTTTAACATTTTAGGAGCTGGATGATGTCATTGGCCAAAAATAAAACTGCTGATATCTTAAGAACCAAAATCACACAAACAAAACTTTTAACAGCACAAAACAGCACAAACAAAGCACAAATGTCTGACACCATTTTGCGGCATTTTGGAGCATTTTGAAGCTTCTTGGGGGCTGACCCGAATTTGATCTATAAAAGAATTTCTGCAGCACAAATGAAGCACAAATGACGGACATAGTGTTTGTGTAGGTGATGTCACACTCACTTAGTCAGCAAAAAGGTGAGAGTGAATTACTGAAAAACTGTTGATTAAAGGTAATGTTCGAGAGGGACTTGTTTCACACCACAAATCAGCTCACTTGCTGTAGCTCCAGCTGTACCAGTTCTTTCTGGTTGTGTTAAAATAAAGTTGATGACATCAGTATCAACTTTTGGGTCATAGTCTGTCAGTTACTGGGATCTCAGGGTCCACAGATGATCTAAAACGATTTGATATTCATGACATCATTTATCAGAAGCTGGTCACTGCTCTCACCCTTTGTGGTCTCACTGTCTCGGATCATGAAGGAGCCCACGTTGTTCCCAGTCGCCAAAAGCTGTCGCTCTGCATCCTTCCTGCTCACGCCTTTAAAGAACCAACTGCAAAACAAATACATACAAGAATATAAGAAGACGGATGTGAGAACGGGTCAGAGGAGCAGAGGAGAGGGTCAGAGGAGCAGAGGGACAGAGGAGAGGAGGAGAGGGTCAGTGAAGAAGAGAAGAGGGGCAGAGGAGGAATAGACAACCAGAGGAGAGGGTCAAAAGAACAGAGAAGAGGGTCAGAAGAGCAGAGGAGACGGTCAAAAGAGCAGAGGAGAGGGTCAGAAGAGAAGAGGAGAGGGTCAGAAGAGAAGAGGAGAGGGTCAGAAGAGGAGAAAGTCAGAGAAAAAGAGGAGAGGGTCAGAGGAGCAGACAAGAGGGTCAGAAGAGGAAAGGGTCAGAAGAGCAGAGGAGGAGCAGAGGAGACAGTCAGTGAAGAAAAGAAGAGGGTCAGAGAAGCAGAGGAGGAGCAGAGGAGAGGGTCAGAAGAGCAGAGGACAGGGTCAGAGGAAATGAGGAGAGGGTCAGTGAAGAAAAGAAGAGGGGCAGAGGAGAAGGTCAGAGGAGCAGAGGGGGAATAGACAAGCAGAAGAGAGAGTCAAAAGAGAAGAGGAGAGGGTCAGAAGAGAAGAGAGTCAGGGAAGAAGAGGAGAAGGTCAGAGGAAAAGAGGAGAGGGTCAGAGGAGCAGACAAGAGGGTCAGAAGAGGAAAGGGTCAGAAGAGCAGAGGAGGAGCAGAGGAGACAGTCAGTGAAGAAAAGAAGAGGGTCAGAGGAGCAGAGGAGGAGCAGAGGAGAGGGTCAGAAGAGCAGAGGACAGGGTCAGAAGAGCAGAGGAAGATCAGGTGGTACAGAGGATGCTTACTCTTCTGTCTCTAGTGTGTCTTTGGCGACATAGTTACTGGGGATGAAGCCTTCTTGGCCTGTACTTATGGACTTGGCTTTCCACCATTCTCCTGATCTGCAAAAAGAATCCACAACCGTCTTCAGTAAACTTCAGAAAACAAGAACAAAAGAAAATTAAAAAATAAAGTTTACTCTTCCAAAATCTTGAGCTTGTCTCCTTTCTTGAATCCCAGATCTCCTTCGTGAATGGCCTCGTAGTCGTAGAGCGCTATGGCAACACTTTCACCTGGAGGAGGAGAAGAAAAAAACATTTCAAACTAATTGCACAAACTGGACATCTCAGAACTTTTACCATGTTGTAGTAGTTTCTTCTCATTGACCCTCTGAAGTTGTGTGATTCGTGCATTTTTGAGTAAGTACAAGTTAATGTTTAAGGCACATTCTGTAACTTTTGTGGTGTATGCTCGTGTCTCCATGGAGATGTTATTTCTTTGTCTTATGCATCTCCGTAAATATTCCATCAGGCCATACAAGTCAGATGATTTTCAAGTTATTTTTGAGCTCTCAAACATGTACAATGAATTAAATATATGCAGGATAGATATGTTTAATGCTATACTGAGGAACATTCCAGGAAGAGCAGTAACATCACCATGGATATGAGATGAAAAACAGTTACATGCAGATTTTTTCACATGTATGACAAAAGTCTACATTTTCAAATACAAACACAGTGGAAAAAAAATAACTTGTAACATTTACTAGAAAAAAAAACCCTCATAACAATTTGCAGTAGCATTTTTTAAAGTAAATGTTACTGCTGTAATGTCAGTAGTATCAATTTAAGTAAAATGTACTTACCACTATGATTAACAGTCATGAATTTACTGAGCAATTCTTACAAATTTTTTTATTTTCATTTTTTTAATTGCATTGCTGTGATGAAAAAAAAAACTAAAAGTCTATGTATATATCTAGTCTTCACTGATGTATAATAAATCAGGATGTAAAGATATCCAACTGTCATGGTACGATATTATCACGAAACGATATACATCTCACGGTACGATATTTATTGCGGTATTTTGGAGAATGTGATATAATTGTAGATTTGGACACTTTTTTGCTTTTAAAATACCTTGACAAGATTTTGGTGTGAATTATTTCCATTATAATACTAAGAATTCAAGTAAAATACAAATCTCTGCATATTTTCTGCACTGAAATGAATTATGGGATATGTAGTTCCCAATGTTTATATGCTGTTGCTGCTATAAAACCTGCATTTAAGCAAAGGAACTTCTGATTCAATATATCCTGACGATATTATTGTGAGTCTTTTGACAATATCACAATATTTCAGTTACACCCCCATTACTAAATGATAAATGGTCACATTTTTATACAGCGCTTTTCCACTTTCAAGGTTCAAAAAGTGCTTTACAAAAAGGAACCACTTTTTTCTTAATACTGAAGTAAAAGTAAACTGTATCTGATATTACAACAGTCCAAGTGCAAATTGTTACGAGGATTTTCTCTAGTAAATCTTACAAGTCATTGTTTTCAGTGCAGTAAGTACAGAGTGGTGGGCGGGGATAGGTGATAGGTGAGAACCAAAAGAATATTAGCGCTCAGTATTAGTACTAGATTATTCAAACATGCAAGAATCAATCCAAGTACAAATGAGTATGGAAATGAAAATTATGCATTGTTTTATGAATTTAAATATATTACACATACATAAAACATACAAAACATATTACACTATTAACTGCAACTCATACCATATTTAGATCACCATGTTTCCTTGTATTGTTTTGAAAATGTTATACTCGCCAAAAACAACGTATAAACATGTTTTATAAGTTTATGTTTATGTTTCCTCTTTCAGAGCGCTACCACAACACAATCAGCGTGCATCCCTGTAATTAGCCACTCCACATCACATCAGGTTTGTCAGGTTGTTGTGTAAAGTTCTGTTTTGTTGTGTTGGAGCATGAGTGATGTTGTAAGGTCAACGGGTCCAAGACTCAGCGGCTTTTTTTTTTTTTTTTTTTTACACATACACATAAATATGTACATATACACATACACATGCATACACACATATATATACACAGACACATATACACATACATAATAATAGCTACACTCTTAATAATACAGTGTTACTCTAAACAGGTAGATGGAAGGTCAAATATTAATCAGTTGGTCATAATACCCTTTCATATGAATACATGTATATATGTACACTACCGTTCAAAAGTTTGGGGTCACTTAGAAATGTCCTTATTTTTGAAAGAAAAGCCCTGTTTTTTTCAATGAAGATAACTTTAAACTAATCAGAAATACACTCTATACATTGCTAATGCGGTAAATGATTATTCTAGTTGCTAATGTCTGGTTTTTGGTGCAATATCTACATAGGTGTATAGAGGCCCATTTCCAGCAACTGTCACTCCAGTGTTCTAATGGTACAATGTGTTTGCTCATTGCATCAGAAGACTAAAGGATGATTAGAAAACCCTTGTGCAATCATGTTAGAACAGGTGAAAACAGTTTAGCTGGTTAGAGAAGCTATAAAACTAACCTTTCTTTGAGCAGGTTGAGTATCTGGAGCATCACATTTGTGGGGTCAATTAAATGCTCAAAATGGCCAGAAAAAGAGAACTTTCATGTGGAACTCGACAGTCTGTTTTTGTTCTTAGAAATGAAGGCTATTCCATGCAAGAAATTGCCAAGAAACTGCAGATTTCCTACAGCGGTGTGTACTACTCCCGTCAGAGAACAGTACAAAAAGGCTCTAAGCAGAGTAGAAAGAGAAGAGGGCAGCTTGACCGTACGTACGGACGTAAGAAGTGTCCATCCAGCCAATCCAACTTGTGGGAGGGGATTCTTGAAGCGTGGGGTGAAATTTCTCCAGATTACCTCAACAAATTAACAGCTAGAATGCCAAAGGTTTGCAATGCTGTAATTGCTGCAAATGGAGGATTCTTTGTCGAAAGCAAAGTTTGAAGGAAAAAAATTATTATTTCAAATACAAATCATTATTTCTAACCTTGTCAATGTCTTGAATATGTTTTCTGTTCATTTTACAACTCATGGTGGTAAATAAAAGTGGGACTTTTCATGGAAATCACAAAACTGTCTGGGCGACCCCAAACTTTTGAACAGTAGTGTATGTATATATAAACATACATACATACTTTAATACTGACAATTTTGACATTCCCAACCTCTCCAAAGCAGCAAACATCTTATATGAACAGGTGGTCTGTACGTGTACATTATTCATTCAAATTAGTAACATTCGATAATACACATATTGAAGGAATACCAATAATAATTTACTAAGTGTGATACCTTACTTCTTAAAGAGTTTCCAGACTTGCCAGTATAGGATACCAAAGTTCTTGAAAAATGTGTCCATAATTATTTTTTTCAAGAGTTAATTTTTCCAAAGGTAGAAATTCTGACAATTGAGTCATAAATAGCCTAAATGTAGGAGGTAAACTACATTTAGGCTCGACTTTTAACTGGAACCCTTAAACACGAGAGCATCTCCCCTATTTTAGCCTCTCTCCATTGGCTCCCTGTGTCTTTCAGAGTCGACTTTAAAATTCTTTTATTTACTTTTATGTGTTTGCACGGCCAGCGCCCTCCTACCTCGCTGACTTGATCCACCCTTACGCCCCCTCTCACACTCTCAGCTCAGCAGACCAGTTCCAGCTCGCCGTCCCAAAAACTAAACGTAAGCTTTGTGGGGACTATGTGTTTTCTGTTGCATAGGCTGAGTCTGTACCTGTGTTTAAATCGCTCCTAAAAATGCACCTTTTAGGGCTTTTAACAAGTAAAATGTATATTTCTTCTTATTTAGTGTCTTACTGTTTTCTATGTTTTTAGTAGTTGTATTGTGTTTGTGTTGTGTATTTTCTTCTTCTGCGATTGTCATTGTCTGTCCTGTGTTCCTGTGCAGCACTTTGGCCAGCTGTAAAGTTTTTAAAGTGCTTTATAAATAAAATTGGTATGGTATGGTAAGAAGGGTTCAATTAGGGCATGGGAGAGATCACTAGATTACTCAAACATGAATGGATGACATCTAAAACCTCTTTGGGCATGTTTCTGATGAAAGAAGAACATTATAAGAAAGCCCCTCTTCAAGGTTAACAGAAACGCTGAGTCCCAGTTCCTCATAATTTGCTTATTTCACTACTTCCTGGTTTGATAAAAATAGCAGTGGCCAGTTCCTCATTAACAGACCATAAACTCACTGTTCAAAAGACCAAATGCAATTGAAACCCTTCCAAAAATAATATGAGCCAAATTTGTTCCTTAAACTAACCAAAGACTCCCATACATTTCCGAACATGTTTGCAGATGTGTAAACTACACGGTTAGCAGATTTTACACAGAATAAAACCCAGCGGAGACATGTGCAGGGAGGGCATCTGACGCACAGGGAGGTTTGAATCTCTGAGAAAGATACTAAAACATTTGCATTTGTAACATAACTGTTACCGAGTAACCACCACGTAAACAAGAACCGAAACTTCTACAAACATCTCAGTAGTTAGGATTAGGCTAAAAATAAATGACTACACCTTTATTTTGTTGAGTGAAGGTCTGAAATGACTCAAACAGTGACTTCTGTGAGCGTTAAGCCGTGTTAGAATGTTGTTACTTCCTCAAAAACAGACCTGGAGTTGTGTTTTGTTTCATTCACACATTTGAGTAACAGTTTATTATTAGTCGATCTACATCTCCAAAGCTCCACCTTGTGATGTCATGAAGTGTTCTCAAGCTCCTCTTACAGCAGATTCTTTTACATTCAGTTCAGTTAAGATTGGCAAATCCAGATCTGAAATGTTCAAATGATTCTAGTGAAGGTGTGTGGAGTTTAAAAACACACTGGAGCACATTCTGTATTACCACATGACATCACAAGGTGCAACAGAGTGTTTTCAGTTTGAGAGAAGAACTCTAAATACACTGAAAAAAAAAGAACTTGAAATATTTACTAGAAAAAAAATCCTCATAACATTTTGCACTAGCATTTTTTAAGTAAATGTTCCTGCTGTAATATCAGGTACAATTTACTTCAGTCAGTATTAAGTCAAGTGTACTTACCACCACCATTAACAGACATGAATTTACTGAGTACTTGTTTTTTTAAGTTAGAAGTCCTATGTAAATAAATTAAGCAAAATATATAAAATATTTTCATAATGAATTGTATTACTGTGATGAAATAATTAAGTAAATCTTATATGTCCAGTAGAGGTCTGGGCCGGACAGATTTTTCAGTCCCACTCCTGCCTGCTCCCGCAAAGAATGGTCATTTTCAGTCTCGCTCTCGCCCGCATCTGTGATATTTTGTCCCGCGCCCAAGTCCCGCAGGATGGGAACCTTTGCTTTCTTAAACTCTATCAAACACGGAGAAGAGAAAGAAATTGGGGTGCATATGGGGGGAGGCATGGTTAAGTCCAAGCTAAATCCTGTTTTGGTCCTGGTTTTAGACCTGTTTTTAGCCCTGGTTTAGTTCTGTTTTAGTGGCGTAGCCCACGAGACGTACGAGACGAGGGGGGACTCTGCGCACGGCGTACAGGAAGGTGGACTGTTTGCGCGGCGTACGGGAGGGGGGATGTCTGCTGCTTAAAATGTTTTTATGAATTCCAAATAAAATATCTAGCACAAATTATACATGATATTCTTACATTCATTTGTATATTTTACTTTACACTCATATTTAGTTTGCGAGACTGCAGTTTATCATCCCTCCCGCCCGCTCCCGTGTTGTGCAGTCTCGTTCTCGCCCACACCCGCAGTGAGCTTTCAAAATTTATCCCGCGCGCTACTGGTTTGCTTCGGGTCCCCCGGGGCTCTAATGTCTAGTATTTACTCATGTAGAATAAATGGAAATAAATGGAACCACTCACCCATTCACACACACACTCACTCATACACCAATTTACACAACTGGGGGTTAGGTGGGTTAAGTGCCTTGCACACACAATGACAGCATTCATCTGTGGGAGCTGCACCGACAACCTGTGGGTCAGTGGATCGCTCTGACCACTCTCCCAAACCCAGTGATGTTTTTTTTTTTTTTTTTTAATGTTGAGAGCAGGATTTGAACTAAGTGAGCTACTCTTGCCCCAATAATTCCCTGCATTGCCGCCAAATGCAGGGAATTATCTAGAAGGACGTCAGTATTACTCAGTATTTCTGCATTTGTGAGTAGCGACCAGTCTTTCTAATCTTTCAAACGTGTTGGTGATCCTATAGTAAAACTTACTCATGAAACACAATACTTGGACTGCATGAGTAAAATAAATACATTTGGTCTGTTGCTATTAAATAAGTTGTAGTTCTCACAGAATTATGTTATTGCAGTGTAAAAATGACCAGAGTTGATTTTATATAGTGTAGTACCCCAGAAGGTTTTTTTTTTCTTTTTTTTTCTGTGTATCTAGAAATCTTCAGGCTTTGTGTGTAAAACATGTGTGAGTGAAACAAAACACAACTCCAGGTGTGTTTGTGAGGACCATAGACGCATCAAGAATCTCAGACTTCCAGTCACTGCACAATTCATACTGGGAAGGATTTTCCGAGCATCAGACCTCCATGTTTGTTTTCCCAGTGGGATATGTCTATTGTCAAAGTCGATCTTTTCTAGTCTTTTGAACCATATCACTTTTGTTTCTGGTTCTGATATTGTCATATTTTAGTTTTGGGATTCAGACATTGTAATTGTGTGGTTGTTGGATCCTAACAGCAGAAAACAGCTTGAGAAATTTGTTTGTGAACTTCATAAATGCAAAAGGGAATCAGATGTGTGTGACTCAAACCTCTGTTCAAACTGTTTCTCTTCCCAACGGAATTGAAAAATAGTGAAAGGTGAAGGTGATGGGCAGGATTGATCCACAGGAAGGACCAAAAAGGAAACATTTGACTGTCTAAATCATCCCGAGTTTGCAGTGAACATTTTGTATGTAAAGCACCATCAAAGCAGGATCCTGTTTGTTAATCAAGAGGTACAGAAGACAAACAGACTGAGCTGCACTTTCTTGTTCTTGTGGTTTTACAGCAACATCATGTCTTGGTCTCTTTGCAGTGGAAGGTGTTTCTTGGTGAACAGTTGGTGCCCTTCGCTTTGGTGTTGACTTTTTAAATTCGCAACCACGGTGGAGCGAAGAATCGGGATTTTGCTTTGATGGGTTCCTTTTTGGTTCTTCCTGTGGATCAATCCTGCCCATTGCCTTCACCTTTCACTATTTTTCAATTCCGTTGGGAAGAGAAACAGTTTGAACAGAGGTTTGCAGTCACACACATCTGATTCCTTTTTGCATTTGGAGTTTTCCGCTGTTAGGATCCAACAACCACACAATTATGATGTTCAAATCCCAAAACTAAAATATGACAATATCAGAACCAGAAACAAAAGTGATATGGTTCAAAAGACTAGAAAATATCGACTTTGACAATAGACTCATCCCACTGGGAAAACAAACATGGAGGTTTGATGCTCACTTTTTCGGAAAATCCTTTCCAGTATGAATTGCACAATGACCGGAAGTCCGAGATTCTTGATGCGTCTATTAGAACATACAGTAGATCAGATCAGGTGTAATCAGAGCCCTTCCTTGTTTCTTCCTTTATGAACTATGATAAATATTTAATACGTGTGCAAACCCTCCAAACCAAGGAACAGAAATGTAACACAGCCATGTTTGGGATTAGAAATCAAACCTGTTGTTTGTGATGGAACTGGTACACACTCACCGTCTGAGGAGTTCACTGCGTTGGATGTTTTGCCCTGTGGAGACAAACAGAAGATCATTGTAAATATTCTGAACACGGGAGGGCATCTGAGACACACAGATGTTTCAGAACATGTTTGTAGATATGGAGTAAGAAGGCTTTGAGAAATATTTGTGTGCATAGGATAGAAATCTGTGCAAGCCTGGCCATACTTGAACATAAAATAAATATTTGTGAACTCTGAAATGAGTCCTGTCGTACATAAAATATATTGTGTGTATTTTATCCATTAGAATACAAATAAAAAAATTACAACATCAAGAATTACAATCATCAAATGAAAATTTACGATTACTCTTTCTTCAGTATGTTCAGTTCTGGTTTAGTCCTTGTTTAGTCTTGGTTTAGTCCTGGTTTAGTCCTTGTTTAGTCCTGGTTTAGTCCTTGTTTAGTCCTGGTTTAGTTGTTTAGTCCTGGTTTAGTCCTTGTTTAGTCCTTGTTTAGTCCTGGTTTAGTCCTTGTTTAGTCCTGTTTAGTCCTGTTTAGTCCTGATTTAGTCCTTGTTTAGTCCTGGTTTAGACCTTGTTTAGTCCTTGTTTAGTCCTGGTTTAGTCCTGGTTTAGTCCTTGTTTAGTCCTGGTTTAGTCCTGATTTAGTCCTTGTTTAGTCCTGGTTTAGTCCTGGTTTAAACCTGGTTTAGACCTGGTTTGGTCCTGGTTATATTAAAAAATATTTAATATTTTAATATTTAATATAAAAAAAAAAATCACCTTTTAAATATTCAGCACAAATATTTTCAAGCCTTCAAATTCAACAGTCAAAATTTAGAGTGTAAAATTCGCAGTGAAGAAAATTCACAGTAAAGATCCAAGATGCCAAGGCAGAAGCAATCGATCCAAAGTGATGCGATCTAACTTAGTAAGAAACAGGAGATGTTGCAGTGACGTGATCTGATTGGTCAGAATTAACCTCATTGTAACCTCATCTCATTGATTTGTTAAGTGTAAACCCCGCCCACAGATGAGAACAGCCAATAGGAAACAGCCTCTGTCCTCCTCGCTCACATCATCGATTGCTTCTGCCTTGGCATCTTGGATTTTTACTGTGAAATTTTTCACTGCAAAATTTATATTCTGAATTTCAACTGTTGAATTTGAAAGCTTGAAAATATCTGTGGTGATTATTATTTTTTTTTTTTTTATTTTGAATTGAAAGTAAACTTCAAATTTCAGCCACTAAAATTCAGAATAAAAATAATTCAAACATCTTTTTTCAGAGTTACAAAATTCAAAGTGAGAAATTCAGTCATATTTAAAATTCAAAATCTGATGGAACAAATTATCTTCCATAGCAAACGCTCTACCAAGTGAGTTCCTGAGTAGCTACTGTCTCCACGTGAGGTACAGAGTTCAGTGGAGGACACTTGTGAGTTTAAAGTTGGTCATTTTCTGCGTAACAATGTGTAATCTAATCCAATGTTTAAATCGATTTAAATTGTGCGTGCTCTTAAACGCTTTTTAAACACAGAGGTTCAGAGTTAAACCAAACCCAGACATTATCTGTAGAGGAAGGAAAGAGACTATCAGATCTCTAGCTCCGCTCCTCCTCCTCTTCATCACTCTCATGTTTTTACTATAATTATGTAAACACTAACACGCACACAGCAGGAGCACAGAGAGTCAAAGAGGTTCAGATGTTACGGAAACCATCTCCTGCTCCGCTCCCCCTCCTCTTCATCACTCTCATGTTTTCACTGGAGACTTGGAGAGACTTATCCATGTGTTTGTCTCCAGTAGGTTAGATACTGTAACAGCCAAACGAGTTGTGAGATGCTGCAGAACATCCAGAACACTGCTGCTTGGGTCCTGACTCGAACCTGTGCTCAGGTCTCTGCACTGCCCCCTGTGGCTCAGAGAAGAGACTTTAAAGCGGCTCTGCTTGTACAAGTCTCTCCACTGCCGAGCACCGAAGTCCATCTGTGACATGTTAGAGCCACATGAACCATCTCACACTCTGAGGAGCTCAGGAACCGACCTCCTGCTGGTGCCCAGAGTCACGACTAGGGATGGGCATGATTAGTCGATTAATCGATAAGAGATCATTAAGAATTTCCTCGATTACGTTCATTTTAATAGAACAAACCGAATGTAGGTTGCTGTGCGTAGTGTAGCGTGACCAAACGTCCGTGTCCGGGAACAAACAGGGGTCTGTACATGAAGCTCTCTGCACTCAGAAGGAGCGAGACACAAACAGTCGGTCTGTCTGCAATATACCGAAGCACAAATGCGACGATGACGATGACTTGTACAAAAAAATTCCACGCTTTCCGTTCTGGTCGGGACAAGTGTGAGTCCATGTGCACAGTGTACAAAGCAGCACATATGTTTCGGTGTCCAGTGGGAAAAAGTTCACCAGGATACAGAAAACATGAAAAAGATTTGTCAGGTGAGAGTCGCTCAATGTCGATGACGAGTCCCCACCTCCCACCCCCCGTACAATGTCCTGGTTTTGACAAACACAAATATGGTCACACTAACCTGTATTCCACTGAGTCATGCAGCATCAGCGACACAAGAGCTGTTTGTTGCAAATGAGCCATGAGGTTTTAAGTTTTGTTTCTGTGAGACTTGCACAGAGCTGCATTAAACACATTATAATAAACGGGCTGATGTGGCTCTAGAGTGGTTATGGTTTATATGTCGTAAAGTTAAATTTATTTATGCAGATTAGTAGTCCAGATAGTAATAATAATGAAGATAATTTTAATATAAAAAAACGTTAATTATGAATCGATAATTGATCGTTAATTCTCTCGAAGATCGATTAAGAAATTTTAATTGAATGCCCATCCCTAGTCACGACTAAACACAGGGAGTCAGAGTTTCAGTTTCATGCAGCTAAAACCTGGAACAGTGAGACAGACTCTACTTTGACTCTGTTTAAATCCAGTTCTGTTCTGTTTTCCTCTCATTTTATGTCTCTCTCTTTTAATTTTATAATGATTCTTTATGTATGGATTTGTTTGTTTTGTGATTTTAATGTATTTCTTATTCTGTAAAGCACTTTAAATTACTTTGTGTACATATTCTGCTGTACAAATAAACTCGGCTTGCCTTGCTTTGCCTTACTATAGTCATGGAAACAGTGACACGCACACAGCAGGACCTCAGGGAGTCAAAGAGGTCCAAATGTTATAGAAACCATCTTCACCTCCGCTCCCCCTCCTCTTCATCGTTCTGTTTTTTGCTGTAGTCGTGTAAACACATAAAACTAGGAACTAAAACTATGTACTCATCAAAAATAAACCAAAACTGTGATTAAAATGTGTCTAATCTTTGTGAAAAAAGACTAAAACTACATCTGAAAATGACCCGACGCTTCCAGGAACACAGTGACCAATTTATACAGTCTACGTCTGTTAGAACAGGACTAAACCAGGACTAAAGCAGGACTAAACCAGGACTAAACCAGGATTAAACCAGGATTAAACCAGGATTAAACCAGGACTAAACCAAGACTAAACCAAGACTAAACCAGGACTAAACCAGGTCTAAACCAGGATTAACCAGGTCTAAACCAGATCTAAATCAAGACTAAACAAGGTCTAAACCAGAACTAAACCAGGTCTAAACCAGGTCTAAACCAGGACTAAACCAGGACTAAACCAGGTCTAAACCAGGACTAAACCAGGTCTAAACCAGGACTAAACCAGGTCTAAATCAAGACTAAACAAGGTCTAAACCAGGTCTAAACCAGAACTAAACCAGGTCTAAACCAGGACTAAACCAGGACTAAACCAGGACTAAACCAGGTCTAAATCAAGACTAAATCAAGACTAAACCAGGTCTAAATCAAGACTAAACCAAGACTAAACCAGGTCTAAACCAGGACTAAATGGGACCAGAGCCTTTTAAAGTGACTGGTCTGGAAGTGTGGTCTGACATGGCGGTTTTCACTCATCATTTGAACTTCCTCTGTCAGACTCGAGTTAAAGACACAGAACAGGAAGTGGCCCTGAGACCAGAGGGCAGTGTGCAAAACTCGCCAACAAACAGAAAGAAGACTCAAGACTGAACTTTAAACTCGCCCAAGACTCCCAGACATTCCACAACATGTTTGTAGACGTCTAAACGACAGAGTTAGCAGCTTTACACAGAATGGAGATAGAGGGAGGGCATCTGACACACAGCGAGGGCACGACAGTAGCTCAGTTAGTTAAGAGTGTTAATCCTCTGAAAGTCCATCAGAAGGTTGGCGGTTCGAATCCTGGTCTCAACATAACCACACTGGTTGAGCAGTCAAATCCACTGACTCACAGGTTGGTGGTGCGATTCCAGCTCCCACAGATGAATGCTGTCTTTGTGTCCTTGGCAAGACACTTAACCCATCTTGCCTCTAGTGTCTGTGTACACTGGTGTGTGAATGGGTGATGTAGAAAATCGCTTTGAGCCTTGAAGGTGGAAAAGCGCTGTATAAAAATGTGACCATTTACCAGGGAGGGCATCTGACACACAGGAACACTTCTCATTCACTGCTGTTTTTCTTTATTTTTCCTACTTTTTACACACACACAGAAGACATCAATATATGAAACAGGATGTATGGAATTATGTAAGTAAGTAAGTAAGTCTTTATTTATATAGCACTTTTAACAGACATTTTCTGTCCCCAAAGACACTTTACAGAGCATTATTCAGCATTATTCATTCACTCTACACCTGGTGATGGTAAGATACTATTGTAGCCACAGCTGCCTTGGGGCAGACTGACAGAAGTGCAGCTGCCATGCCAATCGGCGCCATCGGTCCCTCCGACCACCACCATCACTCACACACACACCACTTTCATACTAGGCAATGCAGGTGAAGTGTCTTGCCTAAGGACACAATGATTGAATTGATTGTATTTAACTGACCTTGACTATCAACTGTTCTGGACCTGGAGCATGTTTTGGGTTGATGGGGGGAAACCGGAGCACCCGGAGGAAACCCATCCAGACACGGGGAGAAACATGCAAACTCCACACAGAAAGGCCCGGGCGACCCAGAGATCTAACCCTGAACCTTCTTGCTGTGAAGCATGAGTGGTTCAGTCCTAGTTCAGCCCCGGTTTAGTCCTGGTTCAGTCCTAGTTTAGTCCTGGTTTAGTCCTGGTTTGGTCCTGGTTTAGTCCTGGTTTAGACCTGGTTTGGTCCTGGTTTAGTCCTGGTTTAGTCCTGGTTTAAACCTGGTTTAGACCTGGTTTGGTCCTGGTTTAGTCCTGGTTCAGTCCTGGTTTAGTCCTGGTTTAGTCCTGGTTTAGACCTGGTTTGGTCCTGGTTTGGTCCTGGTTCAGTCCTAGTTCTTTTTAGTAGGACTATTTCTAAAACTTTGAGTATACACAACTTAATCTGTTTAATTACTTTGGATGTTGGGGTTTACAGTGTATGATTTTGAGGTTTTTCTGTGTTTGTTACATTCCACATGTGTCACTCAGAGTTGTGATGTGTCAGTGACAATCCTTTTCCTTTCTGTTATTCCGGTGTTTGAGTCCATAAACTCACTGTGTTCTTCCTTGTTGTTGTTTTTTCTACCTTCCTGTGTTCTTCCCTGTTTTTTGTCCATTAACTCACCGTGTTCTTGGTGCCGGAGGTGGGGTCTTTGACGTAGTGTGTGTTCTGAGCTCGGCTCTGCTCCTCCTTCGCTCCCTCTTTACCCACACTCTCCTCCTCCTTTGAGCCCGTGCAGCCCATGTTCCCTCTGCAACACACAACACACACTCTTGAACCGCTGCACAAGCACTGCATGACATCACAAGGTCACAAGAGTCAAGCACCTTTAAAATATCTGTGTGTGTGTGTGTGTGCGTGCGTGAGCGTGTGTGCGTGTGTGTGTGCGTGAGCGTGTGCGTGCGTGAGCGTGTGTGTGTGCGCGTGAGCGTGTGCGTGCGTGCATGAGCGTGCGTGTGTGTGAGTGTGTGTGTGTGTGTGCGTGTGTGTGTGTGCGTGTGTGTGAGTGTGTGTGTGAGCGTGTGAGTGTGTGTGTGTGTGAGGGTGTGCGTGTGTGTGAGTGTGTGTGTGTGTGTGTGTGAGCGTGTGCGTGTGTGCGTGTGCGTGTGTGTGCTATAAACCTAACTCTAAGGACATGGATCAGGATAGGACTGTTGCAGTGGCAGATTACTTATTGACTTTGGTCAGATTGATAAATGACTTGAAGAGGAAGAGGTTTGCTGTTTAAATATTTGGATTAAACAGAAACTGTAAAAGAGTTTATTTCGTGGAGACAATCATCTGGGCCATGAGCTTTAGTTTATTTTCATTTTATACAACAGGTCAGCAGGTCATTCAACAGCAGCACAACTAAATTATAAAATAGTTTTTAAATGTTGATTTTGAAAATAACTATGATTGAGACGATAACATCATGATGAACCCATGACCAAAGCACAGGTACACAACACATACAGTACACTGCAGTACATTATAGTACACATACAGTACACTGCAGTACATTATAGTACAGTGCAATACAATACAGTACACATACAGTACTGTACAATACAGTACAGTAAGCACAGTACAGTACACATACAGTACATATACAGTACAGTACAGTACAGCACAGTACAGTACAGTACAGTGCACATACAGTACAGCACAGTACAGTACAGCACAGTACAGTACAGTACAGTACAGTACAGTACAGTACAGTACAGCACAGTACAGTACAGTACAGTACAGTACAGTACAGTACAGTACAGTACATACAGTACAGCACAGTACAGTACAGTACAGTACAGTATACAGTACAGTACAGTACAATACACATACAGTACAGTACAGTACAGTACAATACACATACAGTACAGTACAGTACAGTACAGTACAGTACAATACACATACAGTACATTACAGTACAGTACAGTACAATACACATACAGTACATTACAGTACAGTACAGTACAATACAGTACAATACACATACAGTACAGTACAGTACAGTACAATACACATACAGTACAGTACAGTACAGTTGCGGCACAGGTACAGTACAGTTGCAGTACAGGTGTAGTACAGGTACAGTACAGGTACAATAAAGGGAAAGTACAGGTCCAGGTGCAGGTACAGGTAAAGTACAGGTATATGTACAAGTACAGGTACCACCAAGCCTGAGAATTAGACCAAAACATGAACAGGTCCAAAGTACTTGAGGTGAGTCATTCTGAAGTGAAACTTGGGGAAACCTAAATATTCACACGACATTCAGATGAAGCTCTTTATACAGCCAGTTCCTCTTGTGTCCGCTGCAGCAGGAAGTGTGGCTCTGAGTGAGAAAGCGCCTTTAAACGTGACACTAACTAAGGGACTTCCTGTCTGCGCCAGGGCGTTTTTCCACTGCCGCAACAGTAGTGACACTTTCACTTCTGCTCATGGTAAATAAACGGGTTAAAAATACACTCGGACCTCTGCTGACTGGAACACATGTGACTCTGCACCAGGACACAGCAGATTATCAGAGTGTTTTAATAAAAGGATTCTGTTCAAAGTTCATATTCAAACTTATTGCAAATAGAACCTACTGTTACCGTGTTAGTGGGCAAGACACTTCACCCACTTCCTGTGAAATGTCTATGGGGCAGTGCGATCGTGGTGCTAAAAAAACTGCAGTACTGAGTGTGTGAAAGGATGATGCATGAATATGTGAAGTCCTGGTTCAGTCCTGGTTTAGTTCTGGTTTAGTCCTGGTTCAACCCCGGTTTAGTCCTGGTTTAGTCCCGGTTTAGTCTTGGTTTAGTCCTGGTTTAGACCTGGTTTAGTCCTGGTTCAGTCCTGGTTTAGTTCTGGTTTAGTTCTGGTTTAGTCCTGGTTTAGTCCCGGTTTAGTCTCGGTTTAGTCCTGGTTTAGTCCCGGTTTAGACTCGGTTTAGTCCTGGTTAATCCCGGTTTAGTCCTGGTTTAGTCCTGGTTCAACCCCGGTTTTGTCCTGGTTTAGTCCTGGTTTAGTCCTGGTTTAGTCCCGGTTTTGTCCTGGTTTAGTCCTGGTTTAGTCCCGGTTTAGTCCCGGTTTAGTCCTGGTTTAGTCCTGGTTCAACCCCGGTTTAGTCCCAGTTTAGTCTTGATTTAGTCCTGGTTTAATCACGGTTTAATCCTGGTTTAGTCCTGATTTAGTCCATGTTTAGTCCTGGTCTGATTCATGATCTAAACCAGGACTAAACCAGGTCTAAATCAAGACTAAACCGAGACTAAACCAGGACTAAGCCTTGACTAAACCAGGACTAAGCCAGGACTAAACCAGGACTAAACCTGGACTAAACAAGGACTAAACCAGGTCTAGTCCTGGTTTAGACCTGGTTTAGTCCTGGTTTAGTCCTGGCTTAGATCATGAATCACTTTGAGAGAATTGCAGTAGTTTGGAGACAGTTTGAGCAGGTGCACATTTCAGGTTTTCATTCTGTTTATGAATCTCGAACACCCCCTCTCTCTCTTCTCTCCCTCTCTTTTCTCTTTCCCTCTCACCCCCCCCATCTCTTTTCTTCCCCACTCTCTTCTCTTTCCCTCTCTCTCCCACTCTCTTCTCTTTGCTGCTCTTTTCTTTTTCCTTCTCTCTCCCTCTCTCTTCCCTCTCCCTTCCCTCTCTTCTCTGTCCCTCTCTTCTCTCTCCCTCCGTCTGTTCCTCTCTCTGTCTGCTCTGCCTGTGACTTCATAACTTACTGAACACTTATTTACAAGATGTCGTAAAGAGATAATATATAACAAAAGAAAATGACTCTCTGTGGGAAACGCACGACGGGAGGGCATCTGACACATCCTTATTTGACTTTTACTATATTTTTTTTAAATTATAAAGCTGCACTATTTGTAAAAATATTGATCGAAACTGAAACTATCAAAACTAGATAATCGTTTGAGCAGTATTGGTATAGTGAAAAGTATCAGAACAAGTAGAAGAGCACATAGACTAGTACACATATATACACTATTTATAGAATCGGTATTGAGTATCGAGTCGATTCTGTAATACTGAAATCCAGTTTGAAATGTGAGCAGGGTGACACTCTAGATCTGTCCCAGGCTCTCGTGCTTGAGCGGTTTGACGCGTTTGCAGTTTGATTGTGTCTCGTCTCACTGTAATCTGTAATCTGTAATCCAGCGCAGACATTTCCTTATGACATAACGGTCGCGCTCATAATGATTAATCCTCTTCTCATATCTTCAAAAACCCTGAGCGCATCTGTAGTCAGTGCTTCATTCAAACAAGCACGGGGGGGTTGGGGTTTTTCCTACACAGCAAAAAGCGGATTGTTCAAATTGACTCTCACGGAATCAATTTGAACATTTTCCAATCTGTTCTAGAGTTAATTTAACATTTTTGGAAATGTTCATGAAGTAACGCTGGACCAAAGTTCCTGTTTAACCCCAAAATCAAGAGTTATATTCACGTTTTGAGAGTAAACGGATAACACTTCGTAGGATTATCCTGATTTAGCTAAACAACACACAGAGGAGTTTTATTTTTACACTTTATTTGAGTTAATTTAAGATTAAATTATGTACAAAACTGGTTCAGACTGGTCTTCTCTCGCGGGAGTTTGAAGTGGTGGGTGGGAGGAACCAAATTAACACTAAGGGAAGTTGAATTAACACGAAGGAAAGTTGAACTAACACTAGGGGAAGTTGAATTAACACTAGGGGAAGTTGAATTAACACTAGGGGAGGTTGAATTAACACTAAGGAAAGCTTAATTAACACTAAGGGAAGTTGAATTAACATGAAGGAAAGTTGAATCAACACAAAGGGAAGTTGAATTAACACTAACGGAAGTTGAATTAACACTAAGGGAAGTTGAATGAACACTAAGGGAAGTTCAATTAACACTAAGGAAAGTTGAAGTAACACTAAGGGAAGTCGAGTTAACACTAACTGAAGTTGAATTAACACTAAGGGAAGTTGAATTAACACTAAGGGAAGTTGAATTATCTTCAACCATATCAACCCAACTCGAACCCCCACTTAACTTTCAAATAGTTAAAATAACACTTTTTGTGTTAAAAACAAAAAATATTTTACCATGAAATTTTAACCCTCCAGTTTTTGCTGTGTACGAAGATAATTAAAAAAAAACACTAATTATTATTATTTGTGCTTTCCTAGATGCTCAAAGTCGCTCTACAAATGTCTTCATTCTCCACTCAACACTCAGTGGTTCAGTGGTGCTAGGCAGCTGCCCTGGGTCAGACTGATGGAAGTGAGGCTGCCAATCTGCACCATTAACCCTCCCACTACCAACAATCCTGCACACCACATTCAAATTCGGCAATGTGGGTGAAGTGTCTTGCATAAGGACATATTTCTTACCATGTTGCTCCACTGTGGCACCTGCACTGACCAGACCCGCCCTGCTTAGCAAAAGACTCCAGACCAGACCAGACCACGCAATTATGCCGATACTGATAACAGCATTGAATATTGACACCAACGTCTCATGATGTTTGAACTTGTCTTCATACAACTCTGTTCTGTTACGTGCATGATAAATAAACAGTTTGCACTTGTCCAGAATTCTTCCTCACTTACTTTATGCATTCTGAGCGTCTTAATGATCCACCACTAGGAGTTTATAAAAGCATTTCACAACTCTCACAGACCAGAGCAGAGTTTCACCCTCACTGTAAAGCTAACAACAGCTAGCATGCTAATACACACTTCCTGATTCTCTTGCTTTGTAATAAACAGTACACAGTGGACTTATTTTTGACCTCGAGTGCTCCTTATAAATATACCTGTACTGGAGCAAATACAGATACAGGATCTTTAAATGGCACAATTTTAAAAGTTATTGTTGTATTCGAAGTGTATACAACTACTATTTCTGCTAATAGGACTAAGGGGTATTTGGTGCTGTTCTCACATCACTGATGGTTTTATCTTTTCCTGTAAAAGCCTCAGAACAGAGGCCACAGCTACAAACCAGAGAGCAGACACAAACATGACCTTCAGCCATAGTCAGTCCTCATTGGTTCTGTTGTCGGATGTAAAGAAAGCGGCTGGTTGAATGTCGACCCTGAATGTTTCATAATGTTTCAGATTGTATTCACACAGACCTGTTTCTTACAGGAAGAATAACACTACTATCTCTTGTGTAATGTGTTAACTGTGTTTGATGGAAGTAAAATGACTTTTTCACTCTCTATCGGCTCACAACAGGTATCGGCAGATATCGAAAGCCAAAATATCGATTAGGGTTGGGCGGTAATACGGTATTAGGGTATACCGCAGTATTAAAAAGTAACAATGGTATCAGTTTCATTACCATCATTAACAAAAATCTGCAGCGCATAAAGGACCTAATATAATATTATAATTTACTGATATCTACATTAGTTTGCTCAGCACAAATGAATGTGTGGTTGTATTTTCAATTTAATGCAATCACGATTTAAACCTAATAGTATCTATAATGTTTCTTGGGGAGATGACGTTCGATTAGTTTCGCTCCGTGGTCACGTGACGCTCATAAGGGAGATCAAGACAAGATGGCAAGTCCAACTGCGAGAGAGTTGGTCCCCTCAAACTAGTACTTCTGCAATTTGGCAACATTTTGTCTTCAGATCACATTTCTTTACATTTTACAGAAATGAAACTTAAAACCACATGGACAAGAACTGCACTGATAAAAACATCTCGCTTCTTGTGCTGCTGATGCGGTTCAACTTTTGTTGGATTAAAGAACACGACTCAGTGGAATATATGTTTTTTCAGTGGAATATATGTTTTTTTCAGTGGAATATATGTTTTTTTCTGTGACAGAGGATGTTGTGGCTGATGGTGAGTCTGTTGTCGTGTCGCGTTGGAGACAGTTCATGTTTTAACTTTTCAGAGATTATGGGCCTGGCTCCACTGCATGTTGATATTTCGCCCTAAGAGAGTGTAAAAACTACAAATTTTGGGTTCATAACTTTTAGAAAGCATGGAAAGTGAATGAGGGCGGCGTTTGTATGGAGCAGCACGTTCTGCGAGTTTGGATTTCAGAACATAGGATCCATCCTATTTTTTGACGCTCTGCATGAGCATAGGTGCGTGTCCCCATCAAAATACACAGAGCTCATGAATCTTTGGTTGTATTTGTGTGTTTACCATCAGCACATCGTGCTCCTGGAGCAGATCTGTGTTGTGTGAAAGAGCCCATGAAAGAGCTTTAAAATGTACTTTTGAAATCCTGGTGTTTGCTGTGGTCAGTCTGTACAGAAGGTAAATACAAGTGTGTTCTGTTAGTTTCACTGTGGACCTGATACAAGCGACTAAATGCCTCAGTCAAGTTTGATCGTTTTTCCCATTGACAAACACAGAGTCAGTGCTGCGCGTGTTCATCCTGCTGCAGCTGTCAGTGGAGCCGCTCTCACTTGGACACGTGGCTGTGGTTTTGTGAGGTTATGCACGTAAACGCTGACGTTTTGATAATACAGTAATACCGTATACCCCAGTAAAATCCTGAGACAGTATCACGGTATCAAAATTTGGATACTGCCCAATCCTAGTATCGATACTGAAAAAGCTGGATGGGTTCCTCCCTAAAGCCAGGCGTACACTGTGCGATTTTTGGCTCTTTTTGAGACGATTTTTCACTTGTGCAACTGTTTTTGGGATCGGGCAGAGTTTTCGCTTTATTGTGTGTCGTGCTTCGTCTAGTGAATATGGAGTAACGAGAACTCATTACTGATCCCTCACGAACAGCTCCTGATCGGCAATTGTAGGTTGTAAGAATATCAAACCTGTTTGAAATCCAGTCGCCTCTCGTGAGGGTATCGCACTGAGCATCAGATCGTACAGTGTGAGAACAGCTGCCATTTTGTCGTACAGTTTGAGTTGTCCACAGTACAGTACAGTACAGTGTATGTCCGGCATAAATAGAACCAACACAAAGGTAGTATGTGGTGAACGTACCAGGGAGAATTACTACATTGTGTTTTACTAAAATTTCCTCATAATACTCTTCAGGTTACCCACAACTGCAGCTGAGTCAAACCCAAACCACCTCAAATCAACGTTGCATGATCCAAAAACTATGAAAAGTAATCTTATGGCTTAAAGCTGCACCAACTCCTCATGTGCAGGGTCTCCATGGCGATGCTATTACTTCGCCAAGAGTATTTCACAGTATGGCATTCAAATGAAACTTTTTCTTTGGGGTTGAATAATGGCATCACTTTGAGTTTATTTATAATGAAAAAGAAGATGCTGAACTTTGTTGACCATAAACCAGGTCAACAAATCTGCATCTGACATTTACACTGCAAACTCCAGCTGAGACTCTGACCCGTCTCAGCTTCAACTCGAGGGATTCTACCCTTTCACTGCGCTGATGTCATGTCACCTCCGCGTTAGTCCAGCTTGGAGTTCCCAGTCTGAAGTAAGATTTGCTTTCCCTTTTTGTGTCATTTTAAACTTCACATTTAGCAACGTGTGTCAGACATTTCTACAAACCGCATCTGCACAATCGAAAGAAGAAACAAAACTGGACAAGGACGAGATGGGAACAGAGAAACAAGACGACGCAGCGTTTAATCGGACCTACTCTGCAAAATGGACTTCTCTGAGCTTTTAACATGTTTCACCCTCTGACGTTGTGTTTGGAGGGATTGAAATAAAAAAAAATAACATCCGATATTTTAGGCACACACTTGATGATTACGATTTTTATGGATTTTAATGGATTTTATTGGAAGTCGGGGCAGGAACAGCTCGTGGTTGCCTTAGTTTGAGCCGTTTTCACCTCCACTGGCACTGCAAAAAGTGACTAAGTGAGTCCTATATCCCTTTGTGTCAGATGCCCTCCCATCCTCCTATATCCCTGCATGTTAGATGAAGATTTGCAAGTTCATTCTGAGTTTAATCTGCCTTTTTAAATGTAAATACACTGTTCCCCAGTCTATTTTTCTGTATAAATAGTCGTTTTTGCTTGAACTCCCCCTGCAGGTGTGGTCTTGTAAGTGTGGTTTGGTCAGATGCAGAGATACAGGTCAGTTTCGAAAGCTTTAAGAGAGAATTAAGAATAAAAATATCAACTACTGGCCTACAGACTAAATAACAAGACACTTCCTGGTTCTAAACATCCATGTGTCAGATGCCCTCCCGTTCACAGGTGCTCTCCCACTCTGTATGTCCCTCGGGTTTCAGATGATGAAATGTGCAGGTTTTACTTTTGAGGAAGTCGACTAGGCCTGTAATAGTTAATTTTAAACTGACTGTAGCCTATTCAGACATGCAGCGTTTAGTTAAGTGTACTTTTTAACAGGCGGTGGTCGCTTCAACATAAGACAGTTCCTCTTTCCACTGCTCATCTGAAATAACTTTATGCAAATAGCCAGACATTTGCGTCACTTACTGTAGAGATATTTCTTGGCTATTAAAATATAAAACTGTTTCCAAATTTGAAACGAAAATACAATTAATTATTTGCAAAACTTTTAAAGTACCAAATATGACTTACATTTCACAAAAGCAACAATATGGATAGTCTTTCCCTCGGCCGCTGCTCGCGCTCTGCTGTTCTCGCGTCGGTTTTACTTTTGTTAAGATAATCCAAATGTGTTCTGTAGATTCTCCATCGTTCGGGGGGCGCCTCGGTTGGCTGTGGCCGGGGGGGAGATGCACTCGCTTCGGGCAAAAGGAGCCGAATGCGCCGGGGAGGAGGAAGTCTAAAGGAGCTGAGAGAAAAGAGGAAACAGAAGCTGCGACGCACATGCGACCAAAGCGCGCACGGAACGGATCGGAACAGCGTCATTCATCTGTGCGCTCAGGCTCCAGTGCGCTTCAGGACGCGTGTAAAACGCAAGGAGAGTCATTTAGAAAATAAATCTAGTAAGGGTTCATTTAGAGGTCAGTTCAAGTGAAACTAAACTGAAATGATTCAAACACTGTTTATTTTTACACAATGATATTTAATAATGAATGAATATTACAACACATCTATAATGTGTCATTTGAATTATATTACACTGTTAAAGAAGTCTGACTGAACCTGAAGCTCATTTGCACAAACATAAAGTAACCAGGACTAAAACAGGACTAAAACAGGACTAAAACAGGACCAGTGCAGGACTTCTGGCCCGTGTCGCTCTATGCAAATGTGGGTGCGGTCTAACTGTGGCACTCACATGAACAGCTGCAGGGACATTTGCATGAAGCTCCAGACAACTGCAAGTACTGCACTAGAATACTCCACCAGAGTACTGCACTTTGTCAAGTACTGCACTAGTAGAGTACTCCAGCAGAGTACTGCACTGTTTGTCAAAGTCACAGTGAGGTGTGTGTGTGTATATATATATATATATATATATATATATATATATATATATATATATATATATCACAACAGATATTTCCATTCCTAGAAAAGAGAATGGAACCCACAGCATTGTCTCCCAAACATCTGCACTTAATCTGTCATCTGTCTGTGGGATTAGGACTCACTGAGACACAGGCAGAGGAGGAACAGAGGAGGAGGAGAAGAACAGAACAGAGGAGGAGAGGAGGAACAGAGGAGGAGAGGAGGAGGAGAGATTTAAGCAGTCTGACGTCATCACGGAGAGCTGTGGTTATGTCATCACAGGGTCCAACCAGGCCACACGTGGCACAGTGGCAGAGCAATCGCCCACCAACCACAGGTCAGTGGTTCTATCCCGCTTGCATCTGTACTGTACATACTGAGGTTGTGTCCTTGGGCAAGACACTTCACCCACACCCACCCTTCTGTCTGAATCATGATTTTATTGGGAAACAGGGCATTTCCAATCGAAGGCAACAATAATCAATAGAAAATACAGAATTTCAATACACACTGACACATATTTAGAGGAAATCAATTGTGCACTTCAGCTTTCACCATTTTTGATCGACTGTATTTCATGTTTTTCAGTCGTTGTAGCTCTACTTTTTGGATCTAAAGCTTCTCAAGAAATGTAACTGGCCTCGCTTAACCCCTTTGTGTCCAATCCAAACCTAAACACGAGGAACAACATCTTACAAGAGCTTTTTCCTCAAGTGTGCACAGCCTCTCACTATTTTGTCTCACAGGTTTGTGGCCTGAGATCTTCTCCCGCCTCTGTTTTTATATGTCGTCTTTTTAGGCCTCATGTCAGATATGTCTATTTTTATTTGTATATGTTTTTTATGATTCCGTTAAAACACCAGTGAAATCTGGGAAAACGCTGCTGAACACTGAGAAATGAGATGTGAGTGTGTGACTTACGGTCATGTAGAGGAGTCATACACAAAACAGAACAGCTCATATCAAACAATCATTTATTTATTTATTAATCAGACTTTATTTATAGAGCCTTTTATGACACTCAAAGTGACCAAAGTCCTTTCCAGTAAAACCAAGACAATGTCAGAACATTCAAAATATTAAACAATGAAATAAAACACACTGTGCAAGCTACATTACTGAGTCTTAAATCCTTAAAGTCTGAATAGATGATTGATTGAAACAGGCTAAAGTGTGTGATGGTGCACACATCAGGGGCAGTTTGTTCCAGAGAAAGCCCCATCACCCCAGTGTCTGAGGCTCTGGGGACTTCCAATAGAAGCTGGGTGACTTTAAGTCCCTGTTTGACCTGTGGAATAGTGACATAAACACAGAGATAGTGTCTGCTTTAAAGCTCTTCGTCCAGGCAAAACAAAAATGAATCATGTCCTGCTTTTCTATAGAATCCCTATAGTCTGTACAGAGCGCCTCACTTCCTGCTTTGTGTGTGACGTACAGTGTGTGCAATTACACAGTTTGGCAATAGATCCATGTCAAAATGTGAGTTCAGATAACTTCAGTACATACTAGTAATTCAATAGAAGCAAATCAAATGTATTTGTCTAGCACATTTAATCAGTCAGATCTGAACAACATTTACAGTGAAATAAAATATACAAGAAGAAAATCAAGCAGAATTATAATAAAAATAATAATAAGGTAGTAATAATTTGATTGAATTTGCCCTACATTTATACCTTATTTAATTTAATTCATCATTTATGTGCAGTGTTGAGGAGTAACAGATTACATGTACCAGAGTTACGTAATCAGAGTACAAATTATGAGTAACTGTATTCACTTACAGTTACTGTTTCAGTGAGTGGTAACTGGATTACAGTTACTTTGTTGAAATAAATGGATTACATGGCAGTATTTTCCTGTTTTCACATTTTGGGCTATTCCCCCTTTTTTTTTTTTTCTTTTTTCGGTAATTCCACTCATTGCCGGACACTAAACCAGGTCTAAAACCAGGACTAAACCCAGGTCCAAACCAAGTCTAAACCTGGTCTAAAACCAGGTCTATAGGTCTAGAGCAGGACTAAAGCAGGACTAAACCAGCTTTAAACCAGGTCTAAACCAGGACTAAAACCAGGTCCAAACCAGGTCTAAACCAGGTTTAAACCAGGTCTAAACCAGGTCTAAACCAGGTCTAAACCAGGTCTAAAACCAGGTCTAAAACCAGGTCTAAATCCAGGTCCAAACCAAGTCTTAACCTGGTCTAAAACCAGGGCTATAGGACTAAAGCAGGACTAAACCAGGTCTAACCAGGTCTAAACCAGGTCTAAAACCAGCTCTAAACAAAGTCTATACCAGATCTAAAATAGGATTTAACAGGATTAAACCAGGACAAAACCGTGTCTCCTCGTCTTCTATCAATAATATTTTTTATTTGATTCAGTAAAGTCTGGACTTTTTATTTTCTTTTATCAAATAAAACATTTTATGTGAAGATTTCCTCATCTTTGCTTCTCTACAGCAAATCAAGTAATCCAAAGTA